CCGAGAGGCACTATATTCCTACTTACTCAGTGTAGATACACACACACACACACACACACACACATACAGAGTGTATGTGCCAATTTAAAAGAAGGCTGGTTACCACAAAACAGGCAGAACATCATCTACTCAGGCAGCACTGATACTCACTTCACGGTCTGCTTAGCAGTCTCAGTCTCCTTTGGCTGAGCTGGAGAGAGAGAGAGAGAGAGACAGAGAGAGAGAAAGAGAGACAGAGAGAGAGAGACAGAGAGAGAGCATATGACACACAGTACATCAGGCAGGTTTCTACCTAAAGGGTTTCATGTATAAAGTATGTTGACATTTTGAAATATTCATGATGGAAAAAGAATAATTTATGTATGAACACATTTTTTCCTGTTCAGTTTATAGGAAAGCTGAACAGTTACAGCAGATAAACCGCATGAACTATAAAACTACAGTAGAGACACTCTGGAGAGGAGAAATGATGCAATTACCCACAGTGCAACACAACTCACCAACAACAACCCAACAACACCAACCACAGCAGGAAAAGCAAAGAAGCCAAACTTCTGATCTACATGAATGATGGAAATCACCATCAGGTGCGTCTGGACCTCCATTTGGGGTCAGCCTGAAGGTCACTCATCCCACCTCCAGAGGTCGCTGTCTCCCAGCCTCTGAGCAATTTTCTGTAGGTCGTTTCTATTTAGTTTTTGTTTACAAACTGAACTTTTATGGGTTCCTGTTTGTGTTTACTCTGCATTTCAGAGCTGCGTTCCTCTCGTGTTGGCTGGGTTTGACTCAGAGCTCTGAATCTTTGGGTTCTGGTATTCTGACTGTGGCTTCTGGTTTAAGGAAAAAACGTTTATGTGTCCGAGATTCAGAGTAATAAAGGTTTCCTACACTTGGATCAGCCTCAGCATCCTCTGTGTTACAACACAGCTCAGCCTTTTATTGCTTTGAGTAAATTTGATGGAAAAAACGTTGGGTGCGTTTTCAGCGTATCACTCACCTCCCTCAGCCTCGGTGCCGGTGATTTGGGCGAGGATACGGAAGGAGCGGGACTGAGATGTTCCTGTCCTTGGCCTCCAGTCTTCTGTGTCCTCCATGATGCGCTTCCTGCTGGCGTCAGCGTGAGTGGGAACGTGGTAGAACTCTATATCGGTCTGTGTGATGGGCTTACGGGGGATCCTGAACACACAGAACATACAAAACAACATAAACAATGAGGCAGGAGGACGAAAAGGGAGAAACAAGCTGAAATCTGTGAGAACTCTAAGGGTGTTTTTCCACTGCACAGTCAAAACTAGAATGGACTAGAACGAACCACAAAACATATGGTTCTAGGCCAACACTCTTAAAAAGATGGTTCTTCAATAGTTTTTAGTAAAGAAAATGATTCTATATAAAACCATTAGCATTGAAAGAGCCCATTGCATGAGTGAAGGGTTTTTTGCATGGAGAATGTGCTGTAGATGGTTCTATTTAGAACCAAAAAGGGTTCTTCTATTGTTATGACATCAAGCTTGTTACAATAGAAGAACCCCTATGGTGTTACATAGAACCATCTACAGAACATTTTTCATCAATCTGCAGAACCCTTTCGTGATGCACAGAACACTGAGTGTTTATGGTCCTATACAGAACCATTTTCTTTACTTCAAGCACCCTTAAAGAACCATCTTTTTAAGAGTGTACTTTCAATTCTGATATTCTTAGTGGTGCTATAATAGTGCTTGGTGACTTTATCTTCACATGGAAGAGTAAAGAATTCACTAAATTGTCGTTCATCAATATTGAGCATAAAAAACACAAAACTACACCCATTCAGTACTAGACAGTTGAAAAAAGCACATTTCTGGTTCCTAATGTTCTTTGTGCAGTGTAAAAACATCTGAACAGATTGTATATATTGTGTGGGTTCTGTTGGGTGGATCCTCAGGATGTTTAGTTTTTACCTGTTAACTGGAACTTTACTAACAGTAGCAGGAGCGCTGGAAAAGGAAAAGATAATGGGAGGAGTTACTATTTCAGTATTTGGATGGAGTTTATAACTAGACAAGTGTATATGTATATGTGTGTTAGGGCACTAGGGGGCGCACTGTACTGTAATGTTGATCACTTTCCTCTTTACCCTGGACTCACACAAACACAATCACTATGCAGAACATGCTGGTCATGCTGAGGTTGTGCTTCCCAGCACTCATCACTCATCCACTGTCAATAAATCTGAATTCTCAGGATGAGTGGACGTACATATGAGCGCTCCAGGCATGCAGTGTATAGTGATGAGTCTAGCTGGGTAATACAGTAGCAAGAGGGAGATTGCAGGTTTCTTGGCCACCTGCTTGAAACCCTCTGGCTTTCAACCTGCTGCCACTGGCTGGCCCTTTGGGTGAACTGGGACACAGCATGGTAGCAAAAGTACTGCCAGGTTTAAGAACCTTTTAGCTCCAGGCAAGTCAGAAGTGGTCTTCAGGAGCAATGTGCAAGAAGCCCTAGCAACAGCCAACTACTGGATGTCTTGCACAAAAACCTTGGAAGAACTCTTCTTCACAAAAAGTAACATGGTCCAAGCATAAATGTACCAGGAAATTCACCTTCTTTTCCTGAGATACGCACCATCTTGCAAGTGTGGTGTGATGCAGTACAGTACAGTCTGATGATGGAGCAGGTTAGAAAGAGCTGGAAGTCCCTAGTGAGGTCATACAAGTCGAACTGGGTGGTGGCTGCCCTCCTGAGCCACTCTATTTAGGGATCCCACTGCTCACCTCAAAAAAAAGCTAGAACAGGCAGTCTAAAAATCGACCACTCAAAATAATACTGGATGCCTTGGACGACATTACACTCAGTAGTCATAATAAAAAGGCAATAGTCTTGAAAATGGCAATGTGGAATGTGAGAACCCTCTGGGGTCTCATGTTAACTTGATAGACCCCATCAGATGACAGCACTGGTTGCTATGGAACTGATGCACTACAACATCAATATTGCTGCCCTAGCTGCCCTAATGAGACTATGGTCACAGCATTCCTTACAGAACTCCTGAAAAAGGGAAAAAGTATCCAGACAGTCTGTCTAATGAGTGAATTCTGCAGCTTTGAGGTACGTGCATTGCTGACAGAGGTGTTCAATTGAGTGCACACAGCACAACAGAAAAGCATTGACCAAAAGAATGGGACACTCTGGAGCAGCTAAGCTACACATGAGCAGGTCACATGACCCTAAGGTCACCATGTCCAATGCCAAGCATGGGCTAGAGGGGTATAAAGCCCCCCAGCATTGGGCTGTGGAGCAGTGGAACTGTGTTCTCTGGAGTGATTGAGCTCCATCCAGTACCTTTGGGATGATTTGGAGAACTGGCCATCCATCATCAGTACCCGACCTCACTAACGCTCAATCAAATCCTCACAGCAAAATCTAGTAAAGCCTTCCCAGAATAGTAGAGGCTGTTACTGCAGCACAAACTCACTATTAATACCCTTCATTTCAGAAGAAAGCAGGTGAACTCTAATGACGTGTAGGGCTGGTTTCCCAGACATGGATTAAGCTTAATCTTGGTCTAAACTGCAGCATCAATTGTGGATCACCATCAGAAATTCTTCATAGTTCAAGACGTATTGTTGATGTCCAGGCTGATGAGAGCATCGCCCAAGAGTAGAGGGCTGCAAACACCATCACAATTTACTTAAAAAAGATAGCTAGTCTCTCTGCAGTAAGACAAGGGGGGATGTATTTCCTTGCTGCTGTAGCTGAGGTGCTACAGAGGCTGTCCAACATCATCACAAAGACACACTAGTACCTGAATAGGTTCCCACACTGAACCACAGTGTGAGTTTAGGAACAGCAGGTCGACATGATCTTCACAGCACTGCAACTTCAGGAGAAGTGCCAAGAATAACATTCAGACCTTTTCATAGGTCACGGACAGAGAGCTCCTGTGGGGGGTGCTTCTCAAGTTTGGCCACTCTGCCAAATTTATCAAGATCCTCTGCCAGTTTCTGCTGTGATAATGGCTCATGTGACCAAAGGAAATGAAGAGTCTCTGACTTTCCCTGTACATACAGGGCTGGCATCTGCACTTTTCATCATCTTCTGTCCATTCCTCACTTCATTCATCAAGAATTTGAAGACAGCAGTGGACTTCAGACTGGACAGCAACCTCGGAAGGATACAAACACCAACCAAACTGTCAGGATCCTTTAACTGCAGAAAGCAGGTAACTGTGTTCTTGCGGCTCATTCTCAGGAGTCAGTCCTTGCTGTAGGTTTCAGAGGCTATAGCAGGACGAGTGTGAAAACTCCAACAACACTACGGTGTCTGATACACTCATACCAGCACCGCACACACTACCAGAGAATGATCCACCACCTGAGTAATATCTGGAGAACAGCAGCCCTGAAGCCATAGAGCAGAGAAGGGCTCATAAACTACAGCAACAGATGGATTACAGTCTATAACTGTAACTGAGCTTTTAAAGTGGCCAGTGAGCAGAAGTACAACTACTTTTGCTTAAAATACATAGCATCCACAGCCCTGTTTACAAAAAAAAGTTGATCCAAAAAAGGGATGCTATGCAAAATGTAAATAAAAACTGAATTCAATGATGTGTGAATCATTTAAACACTATATTTAATTGCAAATAGTACAAAGACAACATATCACATGTTGGAACTGATAAATTTTAATGTAGTTATAATGTATGTTATAACTGAAGTTTGGGGGGAGGAACATGCCTGAAACCCCTCCTTCTTTCAATCTAACGCCCTATAAATTCATACCCTCACCTTCCATTTCCGTGATGAGGTTCCGCAATCCCCACTGCCACCCATCTCCTCCCTGTTCCTCACGCCTACATCAGTCCTACTACAGCTATGAGAGGGTCTGGCCTTCTAGCTACAGGCAGAAGCTGCCCAGAACTCCAGCCCAAGTTCTCAGAGTTCTCCCCCTCCCTCAATCAGCCTTCTCTCATACTACCTCCACCATGTTGAAGGCATGGTCTGAACTCACCAATTGTTTTTTTAAAAATTTTGAATTTCATGCCGGCAACACGTTCCAAAAAAGTTGGGATGGGGGCATGTTTACCACTGTGTTTCATCACCTCTTCTTTTAATAACACTCTGTAAGCATTTGGGAACTGAGGAGACTAATTTTGTGTCTCCTTTTCATATTTTTCAATTCATAATGTGCCAGATGTTTTCAGTGGTGACAGGTCTGGACTGCAGGCAGACCAGTTTAGCACCCAGACTCTTTTACTACAGAGCCATGCTGTTGTAATACATGCAGAATGTGGTTTTACATTGTCTTGCTGAAATAATCAAGGACTTCCCTGAAAAAGACGTTGTCTGGATGGCAGCAAATGTTGTCCAAAACCTGCACATATCATGCAGCATTAATGGAGCCTTCACAGATGTGTGAGTCACACATGCCATGTGCACTAATGCCCCCTATACCATCATGAATACTGGCTTTTGAACTGTGACTGATAACAAGACAGTTGGTCCCTCTCCTCTTTAGCCCAGAGGACACAGCGTCCTTGATTTACAAGAGGAATTTCAAATTTTGGTTCATCGAACCACAGGACACTTTTCTACTTCCCCTCCATTAAATGCTCATTAAATGAGCTCGGGCCCAGAGAAGGTGGCAGCGTTTCTGGATCCTGCTTATATTTGGTTTCTTCTTTGCGATTTAGAGTTTTAACTTATATTTATGGATGCAGTGATGAACTGTTTTCACAGACAGTGGTTTTCAGAAGTGTTTCTGAGCCCATGCAGTGATTTCCACTACAGAATCATGTCTGTTTTTAATGCAGTGCTGCCTGAGGGCCCAAAGATCACGGCCAGCAAATACTGGTTTTTGGCCTCGTCCCTCACATACAGAGATTTCTCCAGATTCTCTGAATCTTTTAATGATATTATGTACCGTAGATGATGAGAAGCTAAAGTTCTTTGCTATTTAATGTCGAGAAAAGTTATTCTTAAATTGTTGCACTATTTGATGGTGCAGTCTTTCACAGAGTGGTGAACCCCTCCTCATCTTTACTTCTGAAAGACTCCGCCTCTCTGAGATGCTCTTTTGTACCCAATCATGTTACTGACCTGTTAATTAACCTTATTAGTTGTGAGATGTTTCACCAGGTGTTTTTTAGCATTACAGACCTTTACCAGTTTTTTCTTGTTTTAAATTTTTAATTTAAAATGATTATTAATTTTAACAAAATTCTCAATTTCAATAGTTGGTATGTGGTCCTTGTGCTATTTTCAATTATATATAGGGTTTACATGATTTAAACATCATTGCATTGTGCTTTTATTTACATTTTGCATAGTGTCCCAACTTTTTTGGAAACAAGGTTGTAAATACTTACCATTGTTTATTTTAAAAAGTTACTCACCAAGCTCCTCAAAACTGAAATTTTACATGCAAAACTAAAATACATGCAGGTAAAATTCACATATAAACAAATCCATGCTAGTAAAGCAGGTAAAAGGCTGCTCCATCATGACAAAAAGCTGAAGCCCTATTGAAGGCTTATCAGTTCTCTCAGATGAGGTTGTTTTATATAATGTGTAGAATTTGATTGGCTAATTGGTTCAGAATAATTATCAATGCCATTCTCCCAGATTCCCACAGATAGCTTGAATTAGGTCATTGCCCAGATGTTCACATTAGCATTACCCTACAGAACACACCCAGTAAAACATGCTGCACAGCTGTCTCTATGAGAAGATTTTGCTATTTAATTAAACAAAACCAACATACAAAATTCATCCTGGATTCAATTCATTACCCAGTGATTACTGTCAGGCTGCTGTTAAACATCTCAGTTTTCTGCTGTCTGGGTTTTTAGACCCTGAGATTTATAAAGCATTGGTGGAGCAGCCCTTCACACACAAACTCCACTACACACACTACACTATCACAACAAACACACACACAGCCACACACCACCGGCATACTGACTTTATTGTCACTGTAGTCGTCTGTGGAAAAGAGCAAGAAAGTAAACATTCATCATAATCATGACATCATCATCACCAACATAATCACCATTACAATCATTACCATCATCACTGCCATCTCTATCATTATCAAATCACCACCACCACCATAACCACCATTATCACTACTATCATAATCACCATTACGATTATCATCCCCAGAATAATCATCAATATCATAACTATCATCAACACAAACATTATCATCATTACCATCATCATCACTACCATTACCATCACCATCATAATCACCATTATCATTACTATCATTATATCATCATTACCATCACCATTATTAATATCATCACCATTACGATTATCATCTCCACATTAATCATTAATATCATAACTATCATAATCACCATTACCATTATGATCACCACATTAATCATCAATATCATAACTACCATTACCATCACCATCATAATCACCATTATCATTACTATCATTATATCATTACTGTCATCATTACATCACCATTATTAATGTCATCACCATTACCGTTTTCATTACCAACACCACCATAATCATCATTATCATTACTATCATTACCATCATCACTGCCATCTCCATCATTATCACATCATCACCACCATCATAACATACTACCATACATAACATACTAACATGATTACTATCACAATCACCATTATGATTATCATCTCCACACTAATCATTAATATCATAACTATCACAATCACCATTACGATTATCATCACCACATTAATCATTAATGTCATAACTACCATTACCATCACCATCATACATAGCATACTAACATGATTACTATCACAATCACCATTATGATTATCATCTCCACATTAATCATTAGTATCATAACATAAAACCTGAAGAAGCTCAGTTCAGTAGCAGTAACTCCTCTGAGACAGACAGCCGGAGCAGAGAACACACACACACACACACACACACACACACACACACACACACACACACACATACACACACACACTACAGCATCTCAGCACCGCACTCAGTGTGTGTGTGTGTGTGAGAGTGTGTGTTTGTGTGTGTGTAATTAGAGATGTGGTGCTGTTGCCCAGAAATGTCCATCTATAAACACACACACACACACACACACACACACACACACACACACACACCCAGCACAGATAGTTTAACTCAGTACTAAATATAAACACACACTTACATCAAATGCTGCAACACACACGCAAATGCTGTGTACTGACCAAGAGATAATGTTTCTGGAAAGTGTTTTCTGGAAGATGCTCCCTGAAAGACCTTTTCTGGAAAAAAGTTTTCTCTTTCTCTTTTGGACTGTGTTTTGTGTAAGATGCTTTTTGGCTGTTGTTTTTTGAAGAAGCTGCTTTCTAAAGGATGTTTTTGGAAGATGTTATCTGGAAGGTGTTTTTGGAAGATGTTTTTGGAAGATGTTATCTGGAAGGTGTTTTTGGAAGATGTTTTTGGAAGATGTTATCTGGCAGGTGTTTTTGGAAGGTGTTTTTGGAAGATGTTTTTGGAAGATGTTATCTGGCAGGTGTTTTTGGGAGATGGTTTCTGCAAGCTGTTTTCTAAAGGATGTTTTTGGAAGATGATATCTGGAAGGTGTTTCTGGAAGGTATTTTTTGGAAGGCGTTGTTTTGCATGGTGTTTTTGGAAGGTGTTTTCTGGAAGATATCTTTGGAGGGTGTTTTCGGGAAGATGTTATCTGGAAAATGTTTTCTGGAAGGTGTTTTCTAGAAGACTCTCTGGCAGGTGTTTTTGAGAGATGGTTTCTGCAAGCTGTTTTCTAAAGGATTTTTTGGAAGATGTTTTTTGAAGGTGTTGTTCTGGGAAGATGTTTCAGTAAATGAGAGTTTAAGCAGAGATGATACAGTGGAGGAGGACTTTATGGAGCGACTGTATATCTCGTAATATGTGAGGATGAGATCATCTGCCATATGAGCATCACTCAGACAGTAACTGCACAGCTGCTGAGGATGCTGCTTATTTTTAGCCTCCTGAGATTTAGAACTCAGTCTGCTGTTCAGTCACCCAGCAGGCCAACGAGTTTCTGGACATGAATAAAGCAGCCATGTTCTGCAAGGTTTTAACACAATACACATAATAATGATTATTATAGCTAATAATAATACATACTTCCGAATGCTCAATGTTAAGTAAGAAACAAGAATTACATTTTACTCTGAAGAAAACAAAGGGCATCTTTTGATGTATTATATAAAAAAAGGTTTGAAATGGCTTTGAAAAAAATATTTTTAAATAATATAGGAAAGCAGATTTATGGAAACAGCAAGTCCTGCCAGTGTTGCTGTTGTGAGTGAACGGCTAGACTTCTTCTCACCATCTAAAGTGTAAAAGACACAAAGCGCCACCTAGTGTGCTGAAGTAGCAGCTGTTCAATGTTCTGGACTTCGCTACTAACACCAAAATTGAGTAACAGAACATGGAGCATGATTTCTGTAATTATCCCTCCTCTAACGTTCCCAAAATTGAGTCCAGCACTTTGGAATGTGCTGCCTGTTCAGTTGGACACCTCCATCAGTGTGTGTCATTACTGGCTGAACCACAGGTCAATCAAACTCTTACCCACTGAGCTGCGCCTCCAGCAGGCCCCTCCCCTGCCCCAGCGCTGCCTCTCGGGCGTTATCATTGGAGTACAGCTTGATGGGCGTGTTGTAGACGGAGGGCCGAGGCATCGCCGGCAGCTGAATGGTCGAGTCGTCTGTGACTCCAGATAAAGAGGACGAGGTGGTGTGAAAGTGGGAGGTGTTTAAGGCAGTTGGGGTGGGGCTAAGAGCAGATGTCGAAGATTGTGTGTGCTGTGGCCCCACCCCCTCAAAAGGAAGTATTGTCTGATTGGAGGTGGAGCTGATGTGGGAGGAGTTTGCAGTGTCAGAGGGAGGGGAGGGAGGGGTAGTCAAGGAAAGTGATGTGATGATTTCAGTTGAAACATCCTACATATGAAGGAAGCACACAAATACATGAAAATGCACATACACACCAACAAACACACAAACTGCTGCCCACACGGCAAAGACTAGATACAGTTCAGTTAGATGCTAATGTAACTTTTATAATAATTACTACTATATTTGTAGATTGTGTATATAAATATAATGACGTTTTACCTCATGAACCTTATAGTTTTTTTGTAAATATATGCACATTCCAAATGTGATGCCTGCAGCATGTTCCAAAAAGGTTGGGACAGGACTTTAACAGCACACATTTAGGGTAAACATTTAGGGACTGAAGACACAACATGAGCCCGTTCAGAAAGCAGAAAGCAGGTCAGTCTAGAACCTGCACTCTCTGATTACACAGCCGTGCTGCTGTAACACACCATGACAGGCACTGGATTTAGAACTTTACGCTGGTAACAATCTGGATGGTCCTTTTGTTCTTTGGCCTGAGGAACATGATGTTCAATCTGAAAGGTTGACTCGTCAGACCACAAAACACGTTTCCACTGAGCATCAGTCCATTTCAGATAAGCTTGAGCCCAGAGAAGTTGGCGGCGTTTCTGGACATTGTTGATATGTGAGTTCAACAGTGCAACCTGCATTTGTGGATGCAGCAATGAACATTGTTTATTGATGACAGTTTGTTAAAGTATTCCCAAGCTCATGTGGTGATATCCATCAGAGAAACATGCCAGGTTTTAATGCAGCGCAGTCTGAGGGATCAAAGGTCTTTCATTTGTGGTTTTCTGGCTTTTCCTTCAGGTACAAAGATTTCTCTGGATTCCCTGAATATTTTGATTATATTATGCACTGCAGAGGGTGAAGTACCTAAAAAAATGTAATACCTAAAATCATTACAGTCTCTCACTGAGGATTGTTGTTTTCACACCGTTGAATTTTTATTAGATACATTTTTGTCAAAGTGGCCTCAACCCGTCCTCGCTCACAAAGCCTCTTCGGGATGCTCCTTTTATACCCGAGCATAACTGCATCTTTACTGAACATTGTTTTTAGTCTTAAATTGCTCCTGTCCCAACTTTTTTTGCATGTGTTACAGGCATCAATATCAGAATGAGTGTATATTTGAAAAGAAAAACATTGAAACTGATGAAGTAAAACATTACTTGTCTTTGTAATGATTTTGTTTAATTACAGATCAAAGTGGATTTAAAAATCACCACTTTCTGTTTTATTTACATTTGTTCCAACTTTCTCGGATTTGGGTTTTGTATCGATGTGCTGCTTTAGAGGAAGCGTGATGATGTGATGAAGCTGTGAGGACTTTGAGATGGTAACTGATGAGTGAACACAAACAGAGACACATTCACAAACGTCCATAAATTCAGCCTCTCACTCTGTCTGTCTGTCTGTCTCAGAGGAGAACAGTAATATCTCTATAGATGTTAAACAGAATCCACCACAGAATATTTCAGAACTCAAAATATCATAATCCAGCTAGAAGAGGAGAATTTATAAATACAGGAGTGGACAAAACAACAGAAACACACCTGAAATATTCACTGACCACTTTATTACAAACCTTATAGTTCCACCATGTAGGTGTTACAGACTGCAGTTCACCTGATACCACAATAAAGGTGTTTCTAATAAAGTGGCCAGTTAGAGGAAGTACAAGGTAGGTGTTTCTAATAAAGTGGCCACTGAGTGGAAGCACAAGGTAGGTGTTTCTAATAAAGTGGCCACTGAGTGGAAGCACAAGGTAGGTGTTTCTAATAAAGTGGCCACTGAGTGGAAGGACAAGGTAGGTGTTTCTAATAAAGTGGCCACTGAGTGGAAGCACAAGGTAGGTGTTTCTAATAAAGTGGCCACCGAGTGGAAGCACAAGGTAGGTGTTTCTAATAAAGTGGCCACCGAGTGGAAGGACAAGGTAGGTGTTTCTAATAAAGTGGCCACTGAGTGGAAGCACAAGGTAGGTGTTTCTAATAAAGTGGCCACTGAGTGGAAGGACAAGGTAGGTGTTTCTAATAAAGTGGCCACTGAGTGGAAGCACAAGGTAGGTGTTTCTAATAAAGTGGCCACTGAGGAAAAGTATTTCCTGTGGTGTTTCAATTATTTTGTCTCCTTCCTTATGTGTGTAAAAATGTGTGAAAAGGCATGTGTGTATAGGTGTGTGTGTGTGTGTGTGTGTGTGTGTGTGTGTGTGTGTGTGTGTGTGTATGGAGCTCATACCTTTGGAGGTACAGCTGGTTTTTGAACACTGGGCACTCTGAAAAACAAACAATAAACAAATACCTTTAGCAATTAACAAAAACATTTAGCTATAAACAAAAACATTTAGCTATAAACAAAAACATTTAGCAATAAACAAAAACATTTAGCTATAAACAAAAACATTTAGCTATAAATGAAAACATTTAGCAATAAACAAAATCACAGACGTTGTGCTTTAAGTGTGAGTGTGTGTCAGACTCCACAGGCCGGTAATTAACGAGATCGTTAAGGATTCGGAAAGCTGGAGTTCTGCTGGGAAAAGTAAACGATCCCTGTAAAACATACACACACACACACACACGCACACACACACGCACACACACACGCACACACACACACACACGCACACACACACAGTATTTGATTCCACTGCATTCTGTGCGTGTGTGTGTGTGTGTGTGTGTGCGTGTGTGTGTGTGTGCGTGTGTGTGTGCGTGTGTGTGTGGTATCTGTTACTGAATGTGTGAGAAGCTCCGAGTGACGTAAGAAATCCAGACTTAACCTTCTAGAACAATCCAATGCTGTCTCTCTCTCCCTCTCTCTCTCTGTCTCTCTCTCTCTCTCTCCCTCTCTCTCTCTGTCTCTCTCTCTCTCTCTCTCTGATATTTGAACTCCTACATTTCTAGAAGATTCCAGAACAGCAAATCTTCTTCCCAGAATGCCTCAGCTATACCCCTCACTCTCACACACCCTTTCACACGTGCACTGTTACCAGGGAATGTAACAGTGATTAAACCAGAAGGTCAGTCCTGAGTCTGAGTACCCAGCAGAACCGACCCGGTGTTCTGACCAACTGCCCCACAGCACTGCTCATTCATACAGAACCTCCTACACTAAACTATAGGGGGTATTTAGACAGCCTGAATGACCTCATCAGAGGGTAAATAAGAACACTGAGCTGAGGGTTTAATATAGTTGAGGCTGAATGTTGCTGCACTGATGACGGCCACATGGACAGTAAGACTGCTTGAAGGGGTGTGTAAGCTGTCTGAACAGGAGATCCAGTAGAGTTCCTGGGAAATGACCACGAGGACTCATGATTCTGTGTGAGAACAGAATCCAGTACATTCCCGGTAAATACTGGGACGTCTGGAGTTCATTTTCAAAAATATTGATATTGCAGTATTTAAAGCTGTTTGCAAACGTTTTGTTGATTTTCTAAGTGAAAATAAGTGAACACAGTACAGAGAACCCATTCATGATGACATTTCTCTGCAGATTTTAGTGCACGATTTCTATTCTTCTGGTCAGTTTAACATATTAGAAGTAAATAAAACTCAGTATACTTTATATTTTTATATTAAAAAATATTAAATGTGCTATAATTTTGGCGAAGGCTACATTTTATGTTTCATTTTCCCCCAGTATGTTAAATGTATGTGTACTAAAATGTGTTCTTTTTAGAGGATGTGTTACTTTATTTTGACAGCAAACATGGAATTTGGATGCAACTCTACGTGAAATTAAATTAAACCCGCTGCCTGTTTAACTGTATGATGATGTATGTGGGGTGTAGAATATCCTAAAGCCTCAGAGACGCTGTGGCACTAAAGCCCTCTGCTCTACTGTGTCTCTTGGTGTTCCAGTACTGCCAGCTGGCTGCTCTCCTGCTTTGAAGTGATCTGATTGATGTAATCGATTGTTTTGTTTCGTTATCACACTTCAGCAGAAATATTTTCCATTGTTTTTGGGTCGTTTGATTTGATTGGACTGATTTCAGCTTGATAAGATTTTCGTAACATACTCTGAAAAGCTTTGAGATCAGTTTAAAGGTGGTTTAGAGGTGGTCACTGTGGTTCCCAGTCCGTTTAAAACTGTTTAGAACCATTTAGAACCACACTCAGAGACAGAACAAGCTATGCTGTTAACTAACATACAGAATGTAAGCGTCCACCTGAGAGAAGAAGCCCCCACGCAAAGTCAAATATGCAAATAGGTGGAGCCCAGACCCAATAAAATCTTTAAATGTAGAAAAATTTAATTAAAAATTTTCCTAACTTAAAATAGCTGAGTAATCTTGAAAGTTTTCCATTTTTAAGACAGATATCGTGTATTTGGGTGTGGATCCCATGACAGCAAATCCACTGAGAACTGGAAAAACATTCTCTTTAATCTGAGCTGATTGACTCATGAATGATTGGAATATTCACGTTCTTTCAACATTATTACTTTAAGTACATTTTAAAATGGGTCACTTCAGTTAAAATCAACAATTTGTTTTCTGAACATGTACAAGACTCAGTTCTATGTTTCTGAGTGTGCATATATATATATATATATATATATATATATATATATATATATAGACACTCTTTAGACCTACACTGCAAAAAAATAGATCTTTTCAAGTGAAAACATCACAAATTTGGTCGATATATCCAATATTTCTCGTTAGGAGACTATTGTAAGAATATTATAAGACTAATTTATTTGTAGACATTTTTACTAGTCTTTAGTCATTTTATCCTATGAAACTGCTTTATTCATTGGCAGATTGTTTCTGGATATATGCCAAACTATCTGCATTACTTTTCCAAACAAGTAAAATGATCTGCCAATTGAATATGAATATTTCACTAGATAATATTACTTAAAACAAGTTAAACATGGCTAGAAATAAGTGAAATAGTCTTATAGTATCTTTACATCAGTCTCATAATGAGAAATATTAGATGTTTTGACTATGTTTAAGATTTTTTCACTTTGTAAGAGGTCACTGTTTGCAGTGTAGGTCACTACCAATCAAGAGTAGCAAAAGAAACTGAAGAATGTGAAACTGCATGTACTAAATGTATAATAGTAAATGTGTCCACCAGTCATCTTTGCCACAGTCTGTCGCTGGGCCGGCGTGAGCCTGACCACAAGTCAATACGTTATTCAGCTTATTGACCTTCTAGTGTAACAGAGCGGAGCTATATGAAGGCAGCTAATGGCTTTATAAATAAACAAGCAGCAGCGGTGGTCCGTCCGTACCCTCAGAGAAGGCTACTCCCCTCTTAAACACTTTAAGACAACAATCAGAGTGTCTGTAGTATAACTTATAAACCTGAGAGACAAAGGATAAACAGCATCAAAGGTTTTTCTGAGCACAAAGAAACTCGATTACACCAGATTACACATCTCCATAATGAAGAATGTGTGTCTGCACCACTTTTCTTCTACACAGCGTATGAAAGCAAGCTTTATTTCTGCGTGAACAGACCCGTTTCACCATCAGCTTTCAACACAAAAGAGAGCTTACTATCAAGTCAAATGCCAAGATAATAATAGGAAACATGTCCAGCCTTCCTGACATCTAAAGCGCTACAGCGAGTGTTGGTGTAGTTAAGGCTTCTGGCAACCAAAAACAATGTAAATTAGGTTTTATCTGCATTTAGCAGAAGTTTGAGGTTTTTTAGGGTCTTTTTTCAAAAGTATTAAAACTAACAAAAGCAAATAACTGAGTAGCCAAGTGAACAGATTCAGCACAGCAGTGCAGCACAGTGTCATCAGCTTCTACACAAACATCACAACAGTTAACATCTTATCATTTATATAAACCTTAAACATGACTGGCCCTAGAACAGACCCCTGGGGAACACCTCTGGTTGTCTTCTGAAAATCTGATGATACACCTTACACACTTAGATCTGTATGATAAATAATGGGTAAAAACAGCATTAAACACAGAGTCTGGCTGTTTGCACTGACTCCACCAATAAAGCATGTGACTAAATCACACCTAAACGCCTGTTTTTCATACTTTTAATGAACAAAAATGAGTGAGAATTGGAAGAATCTGTGGGAGAACTGGACAGTGAAGTAAGTGAAATTTTCCATTCAGTCCACCTACATATTCAATAAATAATTAATGTAAATATCAAACAGTAACAAGTGTTAAAGGCGAAACATTATCTAGAACAGTAGGACAATGCTGGTTGGTACAGTGTAGTGGATAACACCACTGCTCTTCAAGGGAATTTGCACGATATTTCCAGAAGTTATTGCTTTAGTATTAAAGTTTGGCATTTAACATTTAAGATGTTTTGCAACTTTGTTTAAAGTTTAAAAAGAAATGATAGCAGTAATGCAGGAGTTCGCTGACCTGACTTTAATTTTCATCCCTATCACACAAACAGAATCCGTGTGAATGTGGAGTCACAGACTGAGTGTATGAGCTCTGAGAGCCTCAGCAGGACGGAGAGTGTAGATGATTAAAAGTCTGAGCAGCTCAGCTCAGAGGAACAGTTCAGTTTACAGATCGTGGTCCTCGCCCTCACTCTCAGCTCTCAGATGCTGCTGATACCGGCAGATCTGTTCTAATAATACAGACTGGCAGTAAATCTGAGAGACCGTTATTTGTTTATCGTTATTAAATATCAAATCAGTTCTCTGAGCTCTTACACGCACACGCACACTCACTCAGATGAGTTTCAGATAAAGTGTTTCACCACACAGGCACTCACAGAGGTGGCCAGCGTGACGATATTTAGTGTTATTTTGATGAATTACATCACAGCATGCCTTTCTCAGCATATGGTAGTATCGGTCAACTTAAAGATCACTGACCAGCTGTGTATGTTTTAGAAATGAGAGTCATTCAGCATGGAACACGTTTCATATTGTTGGGTAACACTTAACCGAAGAGCATCATTTATAAGGCTACTTAAGGCTTTCATGACAATCGACATAAACCTACTTAGATATTAAAGGCTTACTTCAAAAAGTGACCTCATGAAGTGACCTCCAAAACATCTGAAGTGACCTCAGGATTGACAAAGGAAGCCTGCTTTTGGAAATAAGCCTTTATAAATGCTTATGTAGGTTTGAATTAGTTGGTATGAAATCCTAACGAATGCTGATCTCCAGAAAAGTGGCACCAATAGAAAATGTCTTTGGTCAGTGGTAGAGTGGGTATTTAGGAGTATTCCCAGTGGCCTGTTAACATTCCAAGCTGGTTTTTCATAGGGAAAGAGGGAATGAATCCGATCTGATTCGGTCACAAACCTAGACTGAAATGGCACAATCTTTCTTTTAGCACAGAAAAACAGAAAGTGAAGTAAAGCGAGACACATTGTCACACTAGTAACCACAGTACAGTCAGTTAACAGTTGGGGCAGGGCAGTAGAGTGTATGAATGTGTTTATATATAATTTAGAATACTTCATTTTATAGCCCAACAAATCGGACCAGCATCGGCAGATAGTCTACCAGCAGATTTAATGTTGATCTGAGTATTTAAGTACATCTGAAGGGTCAGACTGAGATTATCTGAGCAGGATTGATGTTGATCTGAGTATTTGAGTACCTCTGCAGGGTCAGATTGAGATTCTCTGAGCAGGTTTGATGTTGATCTGAGTATTTGAGTACCTCTGCAGGGTAACATTGAGATTATCTGAGCAGGGTTGATGTTGATCTGAGTGTTTGAGTAACTCTGCATGGTCATATTGAGGTTCTCTGAGCAGGTTTGATGTTGATCTGAGTATTTGAGCGTCTCTCTATGGTCAGATTGAGGTTTTTTGAGCAGGTTTGATGTTGATCTGAGTATTTAAGTACATCTGAAGGGTTAGATTGTGATAATCTGAGCAGGATTGATGTTGATCTGAGTATTTGAGTTCCTCTGCAGGGTCACTTTGAGATTATCTGAGCAAGTGTGATGTTGATCTGAGTATTTGAGAACCTCTGCAGGGTCAGATTAGGGTTCTCTGAACAGGTTTGATATTGATCTGAGTATTTGAGTACCTCTGCAGGGTCAGATTGAGGTTATCTGAGCAGGTTTGATGTTGATCTGAGTATTTGAGTACCTCTGCATGGACAGATTGAGGTTTTCTGAGCAGGTTTGATGTTGATCTGAGTATTTGAGTAATTCTGCAGGGTCAGATTGAGGTTTTCTGAGCAGGTTTGATGTTGATCTGAGTATTTGAGTACCTCTGCATGGTCATATTGAGGTTATCTGAGCAGGTTTGATGTTGATCTGAGTATTTGAGTACCTCTGCAGGGTCAGATTGAGGTTCTCTGAGCAGGTTTGATGTTGATCTGAGTATTTGAGTACCTCTGCATGGACAGATTGAGACTATCTGAGCAGGTTTGATGTTGATCTGAGTATTTGAGTACCTCTGCATGGACAGACTGAGATTTTTGAGTGATGTTGATCTGAGTATTTGAGTACCTCTGCATGGTCAGATTGAGGTTTTCTGAGCAGGTTTGATGTTGATCTGAGTATTTGAGTAATTCTGCAGGGTCAGATTGAGGTTTTCTGAGCAGGTCTGATGTTGATCTGAGTATTTGAGTACCTCTGCAGGGTCAGATTGAGATTCTCTGAGCAGGTTTGATGTTGATCTGAGTACTTAAGTACCTCTTCATGGTCAGATTGAGATTATCTGAGCAGGTTTGATGTTGATCTGAGTATTTGAGTACCTCTGCAGGGTCAGATTGAGGTTCTCCGAGCAGGTTTAATGTTGATCTGAGTATTTGAGAACCTCTGCAGGGTCAGACTGAGGTTTTCTGAGCAGGTCTGATGTTGATCTGAGTATTTGAGCACCTCTGCAGGGTTAGATTGAGGTTTTTGAGTGATGTTGATCTGAGTATTTGAGAACATCTGCATGGTCAGATTCAGGTTTTCTGAGCAGGTTTGATGTTGATCTGAGTATTTAAGTACCTCTGCAGGGTAACATTGAGATTGTCTGAGCAGGTTTGATGTTGATCTGAGTATTTAAGTACCTCTGCATGGTCATATTGAGGTTTTTTGAGCAGGTTTGATGTTGATTTGAGTATTTGAGCACCTCTGCAGGGTTAGATTGAGGTTTTTGAGTGATGTTGATCTGAGTATTTGAGAACATCTGCATGGTCAGATTCAGGTTTTCTGAGCAGGTTTGATGTTGATCTGAATATTTGAGAACCTCTGCATGGTGAGATTCAGGTTTTCTGAGCAGGTTTGATGTTGATCTGAGTATTTGAATACCTCTGCAAGTTAAGACTGAGGTTTCCAGTGCAGGCTTTGATTTTGTTCTGAGCCTCCAGATGGTTCATGTTGTCCGTACTGACTCCATTGATGGTCAACACCAGGTCACCTACTGCAATGCCAGCTTTAGCTGCCTTACCAATGTCTGTCACCTATGACACACAGACACAGAAGTTAGATTTCACTGTAATGGGCAAATATAATTACTGTGTGTACAGCAGAATGACATCACTGTGACAAGAGAATTTCTGTAACAACATACACATAGCAAAACTACAACAACAGGTGCACAAACAGTTGGCATCTTCAACATTCTGTCAGCTGATCCACCAAGTGAGGTTGTCCTGTCTGAAATGTGTGTATGTGGTGTTTAATAGAGGTGCCATACTGGCACACCTGAGGAAAGAAGCCAAACTTGCACATTTGAGGGAAAGGACCTAAACTTGCACACCTGGTGGGCGGGGCAGCCAAACTTGCACACCTCAGGGAAGGAGCCAAATGGGCACACCTGAGGGAAAGAACCAAAACTGGCACACCTGAGGGGAGGAGTCAAATGGACACACCTAATGGAAAGGACCCAAACTGGCACACCTGAGTGGAGGAGTCAAATGGACACACCTAATGGAAAGGACCCAAACTGGCACACCTGAGTGGAGGAGTCAAATGGGCACACCTGAGGGGAGAGCCAAACTGGCACACCTAAAGGGAGGGGTCAAAATTGCACATCTGAGGGAAAAGAGAAACTGGCACACCTGGGGGGACAGACAAATGGGTACATCTGAGGGTACAGCCAAATAGGCACACCTGAGGGGAGGAGCCAAATGGGGACAACTGCAGGAGTGAACCCAAACAGGCACACATAAGGGAGAGGACCCAAATGGACACACCTGAGGGGAG